TAAAGCTGGATCCGCCCCTGTTTGGAGGGCAAAATGCGATCAAAGTGGCAGGGTTTTGTCCTTGCAGATCACACGCCGCCCCGCTCTTTCAATACGGTGCCGCCGCCTCCTAGCGCCTACCGGCAGGAGCCTAAAACCGCCAAAATTGGGCGGCAGGGCGGCCAAAGGAGCCCCCCATTGAACGTGGCGCCGCCCTTTATTCCAGACCCTGACTACTCGCCGCCAGGCTCCCCCAAAGTCAGGGGCGTACTTCGACCGAAGAGCAATTACGAGATGTATTAATGTTTAGTTTATTTTTATTATATTTAGTTGATACTTTCCTGGAGACTTCTTTTTTTGGGATTTTAAAAAACATGTTTTGGTTATTTCTATTATTATACGTTTTTCTATACATGATAACGAGATTCCAGATTCGGAAAAGTGGTCTATCTAGCAAAGTGCCTATTTTGTTCAGCTGTTCTTTTCGCCCACCTTAAAGAGCTTTTTACGCACAAAAATCACTAATAATTCATAAAAAAATTAATTCAGAAAATATATGTAGCTTATAAGCGAATAAACAAACTCATCATTCAAATGTCGCTCCAAATGTAAAAATCACAGTGAATTTTCCATCGCATTTCCAGTTAGCCGGCGTAGCAAATAAAAAAATGTAGTTCCAGCTTGCAAACTCCAAACAGTCTGAAATTTTCAGAGCCTCTTTATAAGACTCCAGCCTTCGATTGGGCTTAATTTGATTAAAGAAAATTAAAAGAATTAAAGAAAGTATGCAAATCAGCAACTTATAATAAGTGCCGCTAATTAAAACAATCGTACTTCTGGTTTGAAAGGCCGAAACAAACAGAAACTTTCTGATCCTGTATATAATGAACAAATCTACAACTGTCTGTGTTGGATTTTATCAAGATGCACAAAAGTTCTGATTTTTCAGAAACTGATGAACTGAAAGTATGCAAAACAGCAGTTTCTAACAAACGCGGGTACATAAAAAGTTTCTAATTCGGGTTTGAAAACTCTTAAAGATCCGAAATTTTAACAGCGTAAAAATAACCACCGAATCTACAACTGCGCTTAATATCATTGAATTTGAGAAAAGTTATGAATTTTGGGAAATTCATAAACCTAAAAAAGGCAAAACAGAAATTTTCATTTTACTTTCATTCACAGAAAAATTCATAATTCGGGTTTCAAAATTCCGCAGGATCTGAAATTTTCACAGCAACAAAATAAGAAACAAATATACAGCTGCGCCGAATTTCACTGAAATTAACCAATTTTCAGATTTTTGGGAAATTCATGAACTTAAAGAACGCAAAACAGAAATTTCTGTCAAGCGGGGCTACTGAAAAAAAATCATAATTCGAGTCTAAAAACTCCGAAGGATCTGAAATTTTCACAGCATGAAAATAAGAAACAAATATACAACTGCTGAGAATTTCACTGAAATAAACAAAAGTTAAGATTTTTGGGAAATACATGAACCTAAAGAAGGCATAACAAAAATTTCTGTCAAGCGCGGATACTGAAAAAAAATTCATAATTCGAGTCTAAAAACTCCGAAGAATGTGAAATTTTCACAGCATGAAAATAATAAAATAACATAAAAATGCACATAATTTCACTAAAATAAAGGAAAAGTTTTGATTGTATGCCCCGAAAATACCGTAAATTTGTAAAATGCCATGATTGGGCAGCTTTAAGGTCGATAGGAGCTAAAAAATGTTAATTTTTACTTTTTCCCCTCACATTTGTCCATATGACTTAACTGAAATTGAGGACAAACACCCATAAAATGAGGCACAGTTAAACAATGTAACAAAATTTTATTAAACATTCTATAACTAAGCACAAGCACATGTTTTTTCATCAATCGTTGCCTTTGAAGTTGGTAAATTTGCCGATAAGTAAGTACAGTAAACGTGGAAACATGTTTAGGTTACTACTGTTAACAAAAACCGGTTTTCTCACGCACGTTAAACAATTGTCTTCCTAATGCTAAAATTTGTTGTGCTGATATTTACCAATAAAATGACTAGAATAATGTGTGTTTTAGCCATTGAGGGCCAGATTTCAGGGAAAAAATGCCAAAAATCTCACAAAAAACGCCGCAAAACTGGCTAAATAAGATTTTGGCTCTTTGTAGGTTTCGTTGTTTGAGCTACGTGGACTTTCGACTCAGGGCGATTCAAGAATTGACGCCATTTCCCGAATATCTCTAGATATTGTTTTTTCACAACTTTCGGTGGCCTCCCTGTATACCAACAAACAAGCCCTCTAGGCTCTACACTAATGACAGCAACTTTGAGTCCCCCTGCATAAAATGTTACTAATTGTGGCACCCTGTATATTGAGTGGGGTAAGAATTGTCCAATCCAGCGGCAGCATTCGAGGAAACCCACTGCATCCTCATAGTCGGGTGGCTTCAGAACTGGTGGTAACCGGGGGTTTTCCACTTGGAGGCTCCGTTCTGGAGGCGCGCCTGCTGGCGCTGTAGTACCCCAAGTTTGGATCAGTCGGACTCAGAAGTCTCGGGCGGGAGCTCGGGCAGAACCTGGAGTCGCCAGCAGGCTCAGAAGGAGGCAGGCCCGGATCCAAGCATTCGCAACTCAAGCTGGGCTCGGTCAGCCTCTCGCTTGGGTACTTCGTGGCTGAGAGCAGACTCTCAGTGGACTTGGTCGGATGGAAGTAGCGCCTCTGAGTGTGCGGCGTGTAGAGCGGCGCGCTTTTGTCCACCCGCACATACTGCATGGCGCTGGAGGGCTTCTTTGGGTGGTTCTTCTGGCTGCACCTGCTTCCCGATGTGTCCAGACATCCATACCCGAAGCCGTAGCCGCCGAAGGCCTTTGTGGTCAAGTTGTCCCAGGACTTGGGCTTCACCTGGTTGTACTGGACGTACTGCGCCTGTTGCGACTGTCTCTCCCCTTTGCTCTTTTGGCTCAGCTGACGCGAGGCGTTCTCAGTGGAACCTTCCCAGTAAAGAGTGTCGGTGCTCAGCGACGTGGTGTAGCTGTTGGCGCTGCTTTCCCCTACAGTGGTAGGCACCGCGTTGCTGATCTCACTGGAGGTGCACGAGTGGAGGCTGCACTGGCTCACCAGCCCGGCTCCGATATGGAAATATCGCCTGGGGACCGAACTGTAGCCTTGCGACGTCACCACTGGGCTGTTCTGAGTCGCTTGGGAGTGCGGGCGGGACCTGGGAATCTGAGAAGGCTCGGCTTTAACTTTCCTGATCAAGCATTGCTGGTAGGTGTTGGTGAAATAAAGGGGACACCCTCTTAATGTATTATAAAGAACAACACAGTACAAAAGTAGATTTCCGAACAGGAAAACGCCTTTGTATCAGCAGCGATTAGACGACGACTTACTAAAAATAATGCTGCCTAAGCGATATGGCTTTGTGGTACAGTGTGGTCCATAATATACAGGGTTCTTCACGTTCTGCGGCTAAACCGTTTGATTTTTAAAAAGTATTATTTGATGAATCCACAGACGCCTGTCGGGTGCACATTTTAAAAATATTTTTGCCATGTACAGAGTGTCCCAAAAGCCCTAAAAGTATCAAAGTTGTGTTTTTCTAAATGAAATACCCTATATATTAT